CATGTTTTTGTGTTTTGCTTTGGTACCGAAATTGGTACCGAGAACCGTTGATTTTCACTGGTATTGGTAGCGAATACTGAAATTTTGGTACCGTGACAACACTAGTTGAGACTAATGCTCAAACGATAAAGAGAGAAGCTCATTATTCTCACTCTAGTATCAAAAGTTGAACTTACCCGCTGATAGCTGCTGTTGGAATAGTCCCGCGGCGTACTGAATTGGGTTTGTCCGTATCCAGAGTTTGCAGAATTGGAGAAGGCTGGGCGATAACCGTCATATCCTTCTGAAATAAATTCAAAAACTCGAATGATTCATCCATCAATGACTTTAATGATCATCTAATGAAAATCAGCAGCTACGACTGCTCCAAACACAACGTTGTTCTGTACCTCTGAAACTACTGGATGTTCCTCTGTAGCCATTGATCATACCACGTGAGTTACGAGGACCTCCACGAGAAATCCCTCTGCTGTTGTAGAAGGACTGAGTCTGGTGGCTGAACCCGTTGCCCTGGCCACCTGACTGCTGGGACATGGGCTGGGCACCAGTAGAGTTAGGGAGTGACTGGTCTTGAGAATGGAAGGCACCAACTACTGTTAACACGGGGATAAAAAGCTGAATTAAACATGAATTAAACAAATAGCATTATGCAGGCCGTAGAAAATCATATATGTTTTTATTAGCTCCACGGCTGCTTGCTCCTACGAGCCACATGTTGAGAAGTTCTGACTACATAGACATGATTATATTGTGGGTATTAAAATATGATCTGAGGGATTCTGAAGATTTTCCTCACCAGATTGGAGCTGCTCTGGCGGCATGTCTGTATGCTCCACGGGGTGCTGCGTCTGGTTATTAAAACCCTGGTTGTAGCTATTCTGGTATTGGCTGGCCTGCTTCATTGAGTCCGTATCATTAGCTGGTGGGACAGGCGCATTAAGGTGGAACACCTGTCAGGAAGAACAGATTGAGGATAAGTGAACATGTAATATTAGATCAGAGTATCCAACATACAAAGTTTGTGTGTTGTAAAAGGAATACTTCACTCTAATATGAGAATTCTCCTCCTGTACACACCTTCATGCCATCCCAGATATAATGATGAACATAGATGACTTCCTGATTTTTAAAGTGTTCCTAACAGCTAGTAATTTTCATTCAGGCATCTTACCGTTTGTATGGACTGGAATGGGGCTGCATTGACATTGATGCCACTGCTGTGCAAGGGTTTGGATCCGGGCTGGATCACCTGGGTCTGGGAGGCAGGAGGGAGCACTGTAGATGGAGGCGGCTGCTCTGTCAGGGGCATGGAGGCCTACAGAGGACAAGCAATTTTTTGATTGCTGAAAATGACTTGATGCACATTTTGTGCAGTACATTTTTGGTTACATTAGAAAGCTCATATTCTAGCTTCACAGAAATAAGTTGGAGAACTCGTTGAATTCATGAAAGGATTGGGTGCTTGACAACTTGCCTGAATAGGATCAATGGAGTCTGTCTGTGGTCGGGGATCAGCAGCGTGAGGAGACTGGTATATCGGAGGCGGTGTGGAGAAGGTTTCTGGTGATGGAGAGACCAGGGCGATCTGCAGACAAAGTAAATTCACACACTTACTGTATCTTTACACAGATATAAAGTCAATACTCTCATCTTTCTTTTCCAGACAGTTTCCAATCCAGAAGAAGTTGGCTACACTCACTTGTGTGGGTTCAGGCTGAACGCCAACAGCGGAAGGCTGGGCAAGACGAGACTCAGGGTGAACTGTAGGTTGAGAAACCAACAGCCCAGAAGGGTTAGGGTGATTTGAACTGCTTAACCCATAAAGCTAACTGAATGACCATGTGGTGGAAATATGAACATACCTGGTTGACACACCATTGGCGGCATTTCCATAATAGGCACTGGTTTCATAGGTTGTGCCAATACAATCGCCGGATCAAGAGACTGTCCATCAAAATCAAGCATGGAGTCCTGGGAACGAAGAGAGCATTTAGTATGCATAAAAACATATGCAAAATAAAACAAATCTGCAAAAAAAAAAAAAAAAAAACACCTGCATGAAGTTGTAT